GGGTGCTCCTGGGGCTGTGATTTGCTGGCCGCGCCTCCGTTACTGTCCAGGTAGCTTTGAAGTTAACACTTCATTCTTCTGCCGTAGCGAATGGCGTCCGGGGATGACCCCGTGGCCTCCGGACGTGCTGCCTTCTGTCCTCTGTGTCTGTGGACGTGCATGTCGCGTCCCTCTTGACCGAGCCCGTCCCTTGGGCACAGGGCTGTATGTGTCCAGCAGTGAGGCCGGCTGTCCTCCCACGCCCTTGACTTTCCTCAGAGGCGTGTCGCTTGGGGGAGGCGGCCTGCCCTCCTCTGCAGGGCCCACGGCCGGGGCGTGCCGTTCGCGGACAAGCCTGTGTCCACTGAGCCCCGACTGGCCTTTATTCCGTGGAGCCCCGAGCCCCTCTGGAGGGGGCTGGTGCCCTTGTGTTTCCGGCCTTGCTGTGAGAAAGAGCACTGGGTGGCCGCCTCGTGTGTCAGTACGTCTCTGCACAGACGACCGTTTCTCCTGCTGAAACTGCTAACACAAAACCCCTGGTGTGAGGTGCGGGGCGTTTCGGAGTCTTGCTTGAAGCTCACTCCAGTTTGCTGTGGCTGTTTGACCTGATCCCTCCGACCCCCGGTGTGTGGGGAAGGTGGGATTCGAACAGGGGCCACGGGGGCGCAGCACATGGGCCGGGAGACCGCGCCACGGGCCGCGCCGGCCCCTGCTGTGCCCTGCCCCCGCCGACCTGTGTGTCCCTTTCAGGACTGGAAGGACCACCAGCACGTGTGTGGGCAGTCCGCAGCTGTCACCGTCCAGGCCGATGAGGTCCACGTCACTGAGAGCGTGATAGAGAAGGTGACTGTGTGAGGCCGTGCTGGCCGCCTGCGCTTCGGCGAGGCTGGCGTGGGTCGAAGGCCCCCAAGGATGGCGGACGGACGCCGAGGAGAGGGCTGCGGGGGAAGAAACTTGCTGGCCAAGTTGTTAACAAGCTGAGTGAGCCGTACCCGTGGAGCAGACTCATCTGGCCCGGACCCCGAGGCTGGGCTGGGCGTGGACACCCAGGGCACTGAGGGGAACCTGGCCGGGCCCGCCGCTCTAGGTGCTGTTTTTTATCCCTTGGGTCACGAGCGCCCGGCCCCGCCCTCGAGGCCTGTGCTGGTGGCGCGTGTACATACATGTGGTGTCTGTCAATAAGTTGTAAATAAAGTCTCCCTGCCGCAGGACAGCCCAGGCCTTGGGGCTTGTCCCGCCTGTGTGGGTGGGACCCAAAGCCCGAGGCAAAAGGGGTGAAGCGAGACCGTCCAGGGCGTGGGGCCTGCCCAGGCGGCAGCCAGCCTGTGCCACCCTGAGGGCCCCTTGGGCTCCGGGAGGAGGCTTGCTTCCTTCTTCGGGGCAAGGCCGTCCGTGGACTGGCCGCCTGGACGGCCGCTTCCCGTCAGGCTCCAAACCACACCTGGGCTGCCCGGGCCAGCAGCTGGGACCTCCAGGCCAGGGACCACCCCTCAGCGCGCCCACGAGGAAGGCTCCCTTGTCATCCCCGGGCTGTCACTTCTTCTCAAGACCAGGCTGGGCGAAGGAGGGCCAGGGGCCCACGCCTGCAGGAGCCTCGCGCAGCCCAGCACGTTTGGGCCGGGCTGGCCCTGGAAGTGGGACCCGCCTTCCCCGGCACCACGTCCCGGAGCTTCCGCCTGTCTCCCGAAATGCCCTTGCAGCCCAGGAGGCTCGGAGCCGTGTCTGCCTTCTGGCCAAGGTGCCGAGGTGGGCTTGGCCATCAGGACAGCCCGCAGTTTGCTTCTGAGTGACGCCCGCTGCCGCCCAGGCGCTGGGCCTGGGGTGTCCGCACGTCCACACCGCTGGGCAAGAAAGGAGTTCTCCCCACTCTGCGCCCGCCACCCTGCACTGTTCCCTCTCTCGCAAAAGGCTCCTCCGTGGCTAGCAGGGCCCAGGAGACTCGGCCGGGCCAGAGGCCCTGACGGCCGGGCCGTGAGCTCGGGGGAACCAGGATCCCCGGGGCAGCGGTTCCAAGGGCCGCGGACCAGGCCCATCGCCTTGCCTGCTGTCCGTGTCGGCGGGGCGCCACGACCCCCGGTTTGCTCTGCCTCTGGCGCCTGCTCCACGCCGGTGTCCGGTGGGGTGGGCTGGTGCCCGCCCAGAAGCCTGTCCCCGACACTGGTTGGCTCTGGCTTTCTCCTACTTCCTTAACTGAGTACTTGCAAGGCCCGGCGCAGGGGCTCGTGCCTGCGTCCCAGCACTCTGGGAGGCCGAGGTGGGAGAATTGCGTGAGCTCGGGAAGTCAAGACCAGCCTGTGCAAAAGAGCGAGACCTCGTCTTTACAAAAAATCAAAACACGAGCCAGGCTTGGTGGTGCACGCCTGTAGTCCCAGCTGCTCAGGAGGCTGACGCAGAAAGAGCGCCTGAGACCAGGAGGTCGAGGCTGTGGTGAGCCATGATCGTGCCACTCCAGCCAGGGCAACAGAGCGAGACCCTGACCAGAACAGAAGCACTTGTGAAGTCCCAGCACAAAGACTGCAGGCTGCAGCCTCCAGGGCCGAAGCCCTGTGGGACACCTGGGGCGCTGCCTGGAGCCGTGGGGCAACCCAATCCTTGCCCTCCTGTTTCAGACGGGAGCCTGAAGACCACACGCCGCCGGGCCAGTCTGCAAAGCTCCTCGCTGAAGGCCTGGCGAGGCTGCTGCCCGGCGGCATCTCCCGGGCTCCGGGGGTCTGCCCAGCCCCCAAGCCCGCGAGGGCCGAGGCCCACCTCGACGGCCTCTGTCCTGCTGTTGCGTGTCCCGGCCTCGCCCCATGTCTGTGGAGCCCTCCAGTGTGGCCAGCGAGGGCTGGGCGCCTTGGGGTGCTGCAGGCCCCCCGGGGCAGAGCTGGAGGGAGGCCCTTCGCCACTCCTGCGGGGGTGCCAGACCCCGGGGGGCCCAGGGACACGCGTCCCTCGTCTGGTCCCAGTCCCACAGGAGGACGGGAGTCCCTCGCGACTCAGGAAAGCCGCTTGGGGGTGGCTGGACCTGGGATGCAGGCAGTGCTAGGGTTGTGTGGCGCACTTGGCCCGCGATTCTCAGCCTTGAGAACTTGGCACCGTGCACAGCTGCCGCCGCAGGAAAGCTCCAGCTGGCAGGACTGGAGGCGATGAGCCCCATCCTCCTGTGACTGGCCCGAGAGCTGAGGGCAGCCCTGAGCCGACCTGGGTCCTGGAGCTCTGTGTGGCCCAGCTTAGGCCCTGTGGTCTCGGGTTGCCCTGCTCCCGCCCGGGGCGTAGGAGAGCTGGCAGAGTCGGGGTGGGCTGGCTGGGGTGACCCCTCCCCAGCACCCCAGGCCCTTCTCCAGGGCCTTCTGGCACCTTCTGGCCAGGGGCTGGCGGACCAGGGGCTGGCGGAACCAGGGGCTCTGACCTCAAGGCAGCTTCTGAAATGGGGGCAGGTGGCTCCAGCGGGCTTTGCAGGGACAGCACAGCCCCATGCCCCTCCGTCCCTGGAGAGGCAGGAGTCGGCCTGCACAGGGCCTGGCGCTGACCCCGCGTTTGTCTTCCTTTAGGACTGGGCAGCCCGGGACCCCACCCCACCCTTAACGTCTCCCTGCAGGACAGCAGTCCCTCTCCCACTGTGGGGAGGGGACACCGAGCCTGGGTTCCCTGGGCGGAGCTGAGCGGACCTCCCGCAAGACCCTCACCTCTCTCCGAGCCAGCAGGCAGCTCGTAGGGTCCGTGCCAGGGGCTTTGCGACCCGCAGGGTGGGCGGCCTGGGTTCCAGGGAGCAGAGGTCCCCCTCTCCCCGGGAGCCCCCACTGCGCGTTCAGAAGGAAAGTGTTTAATGACACATGCAAGACCGCCCCTGCTGCCCGCCCGCGCCTCCCCGCGGGCCAGTGCCCGCTCAGCAGCAGGCGCGCACGGCCTTGCGGAAGACGTTGCGGAACTCGGCGTTGAAGATGGTGTAGATGATGGGGTTGAGGGCGCTGTTGACGTAGCCCAGCCAGGTGACGGCGCTGACCAGCCGTGCAGGCACGGCGCAGGCAGGACACAGGGCCCGCGTGATGTGCACCACGAAGAAGGGCGTCCAGCACAGCAGGAAGGCCCCTGTGGGCACCCGCCGCGGGTCAGGCCAGGCCCCGGCTCCTCCCTTGCCGCCTGCAGCCCAGCCTCCCCCTGCCCCTCTGGCCCTGCCCCTGGCCCCACCCTGTGCCACTCACTCACCTCTCCCACCTCCCGCCCCCTCCACTCCAGGACGGGACCTACCGACCACCACCGGCAGGACCCTCATGGCCTTGCGCTCCCGGCCAGTGATCTTGGCACGCCTTGACCTGCGGGCCTGCGGAGGGGTCTGGGGCGGGAGCTCCGCAGCCTGGCTGGCCGGGGGGGTGGGGCAGTCGGGCCCGCAGGGGCTCTGCGTGTGGATGCATGCGGGGCTCGGACAGTCCGGACCGCCGGGGCCTCGGGGGAGGTCGGGTGTGGGGAGCGGACAGTCCAGGCCGCAGAGGCACTGGTTGATGCTGGGCAGGGAGAGTGGACAGTCGGGGCCGCTGGGGCCCTGGAGGTGGCCGGACGCGGGGGATGGACAGTCCGGGCCGCAGGGGCACTGGTTGAGGCCGGGCACAGGGGGTGGGCAGCTGGGGCCACCAGGGCCCTGGGAGTGGCTGGGTGCAGGGGCCGGGCAGTCCGGGCCGCCGGGGCC